GCTAAACAGTACTGATACTATTGCTGTTATACTTACACACAAAATTTGCTGTAACTTGTTGAGTGTGTTGGTATTGATCCGTAAGTGACTATAGGTCTAATTATTACTGTGTATATCCATCGCAATAATCGCATTGAAAATAATGATGTTTGCGTCGAAGACTGTAATTTCTTGACAGTCATTTGATTAATTACTTTGTACATTATCGTAGCAAATCGCAGTATTGTAATAAAACATATAAATAAAAATGATATGTTTTATTTAAGCCTTCAATAAAATCAAGTTGTGTTGCAATTCAATAAGCCTAAATGACATTTTGATAATCCTTAAATATAAGTAAAAATGTTGTCCTCATAACTCTCAAAAAAAAATGTAGACAACTTCTTAGATTAAAGTTTCAGTTTATGTAATAATATTAAAAAATTTATGAAAAATAATAAAATCGATGAATGTTGTTTTCGAAACTATTTATTCTGTTCTTTTATGTAATACTAGTAAACAAAGTTTCAAAATTTGAAACAAGACTATTCTGCATTTGTTTTGAATTTCTATTCTATGCTTCTATTCAGTTCAGCGGTTCATGTCGAATAACAACAACCAGTATTCAACTAATTCACCAAAAGCCAACAGGCAACAGAGAGGCGGTCCAGCGACCACACTGGACAACAGACATACGATCTTAAATTGTTGCTAAACATAAACTGCAAAGCGATTGAAACTCATTCGAATGCACTCCAGAAGTTACAAAAGTCACAAATATTACAAGAGATCAAATGTAAATACAAGAAAGTTTGCGAATGTGTGTGTGTGTGATCCACATGTAGTAAAAACTTTGGACTTGATTAATTGTATTTGTTGTAACAAGTCTGAAGTTAATTTTTTTTTTTGCACAATTGGTCTGCCTGCTTGTCTAAAACAAATTTTTGTATAAATTGAACTGAAATTAGAGAACGTATTCACTTCATACCAGAACTCGGTGTTGAAAGGAAATAGAGCTCAATTCATTATGTCGTGGAAGGTGAGACTAAAATGAAATTTGTTTTATTTTCTTTAAACTTATTATTTCCTAATTTTAATTAGATCTTAACAATTCTGTTCTGTATAGTGGTAGTGGCGAGTGCACAGCACCACTACAGCTACAGTCATGGTCATGGACATGATGACCATCACGAAGATGAACACGATCACGGTCCTGCTCATTATGAATTTCATTATTCTGTGAAAGATCCTAAAACGAAGGACATTAAGAGTCAAAAGGAATCTCGTAAGGATCACAAAGTCGAAGGTTATTATGAACTAATCGATTCCGATGGACATCATCGTATTGTGCATTACAAAGCAGACAAAAAGACAGGATTTGAAGCTACGGTTGAACGTAAACCAACCAATATCAAGGTGCCAATTCCCAAGATCTCCTATGAACATCACGATGATCATCACTATGATCACCATGATAACCATCATGATGACCATCACGGAGATAATCACCATCACTATTACTCGCATCATTGAGAACATATTTGGAGAAAGTTTGAATAACCGATCATCTCGTTTTTCACACAACTACACATTTGTACATAATTCATTTTGTAATGGTTAAGTTAAGAAAATATTAAGGATATGAAGCTGTGTTAGAAGTGCACCAGCAGTTCTTCTAATCAACTTTTGAAATCGGTACAAACCGTTCTTTTTGGATTTTTTTGTTTATATATATAGATTTTAAGTGTTAATTTTATATAATAAATTCTTGTGCAGAATTAAACTGTAACACAAATATTTTCTTTTCTATCGATTTTAAGCATAGTTTATAATTATTTAACGCAACTATCTTAAAATATAGACTTTCGATACCTTATTGGATTTACTAGACATGATTTACTATTTTATGTGCACGGTACATTTGATTTGTATTTAATGAAGTTGGAATGTACTATATTTACTATTATATATAAGACACTATGCTGTATTAAATACACAGATCATGCGCGTTTTCTAGTACACACATAAATATATTTCATTATATATTTCATTGGGATATAACACAAAGATATATCATTGGATTTCTTTGAGATAATTTTCTGTGAGTCGGCATATAGTTGGTAATAGGTCGGCCAAAACTTTATGAATGTTCGTCAAGCTGATTCAAAGTGTTCAAAGCTTGAGGATTGTCCGCATAAAAACGAACGTTAGCGACCTCACAAAATCCAATATTAATGTTTTATGTTTGAGGATTGTCTACATAAAAGCGATCCTTACCGACTCCACAAAAAAAGATCCAATGATATTTTATTATTATATTCGTGTTTGTTTTTGTTTTTTAAAGAAGCTTTAAAACATTTTCGCTAACTAACAGAGATGCGAAATCTCTGAATCGACTTATAATAGCATTGCTCTATTAGATTTTTTGCTATAGCTTTATTTTAGTCAGTTTCTGTTGATATTTTTACTTAATTAATTAACATATACCATATTCTGTCAACTTTTACAGTACATCTATGACTTCTTATGGCATCATTATTACTTCAATATTATTTGCGAGGATAGAGTATTTTTATTGTAGATCATTGTGGAATTGTGTCTGAATTGTATTTTAGTCTACAAGAGCGTGTTTCTACTTCTTAATACGACCAGTGCATATATGTACTTATACGATTGTGTGGTGGTCTCTTTCCAATTCTATATCGCCAAATTGTCCATATTTACAAAAGATCGAGCTACAATGCCAATACATGGTTAGTCAAATTACTTTATAGTAATATTTCTACTCTAACAACATGCCTTCAATGAATAGTTTATAGACTTACGAATAAAACAGTACAGCTAAATGATTATTCCATTAAAAAAGTGGAACTCATCTGATACTCTCTACTGATCTTCAAATTAATGGAATATTTTATCTCGGTATTTTGCATTTAATTTGCTTAAATTTTAACTTTATGTGGGATGTGGTGTTATTGCTCCTCAGCATTGGGATATTCTGTCAACCGAATCCTTATACGATAGCCGAAGTTGTTGAGAATTATTTTTATTTTGATCTCCCACACTCTGTTATGGATAATTACGATAGTTAATATAACAATTCTTGCAAGTATGATGTTAGTACTGTACTTTTGTTCAAAGTCCCGAGTAGTATTTTATTTCCCATTTACTTTTCATTGTGCGCATCCACACCCGTATAAACAGGCATCTTTACACAGAACACAAGAGATTCCTTGGAAGTTGTTGTCGTTATAAGCCCAATATAAAATGATATCAATAAAACGGTTGAAGATCGATATAATCTATCTCCCAGATACATATATATATGTTTATATATATGTATATATATATATATATAAATATATATTTATTTGATCCCAGATATAATCATCAAATAAAGCCAAATAGAAAATAGCAAAAGTAGAGCCTATAATGCTACTTATTTGGTTGATTTATCAAGTTGAAACTTTAAGAAACAGTTAATTTAAAATGGATAATATTTCACTAACACTCGAAAAAAACAATTTTTTATTACAGTTTGATCCGCAAAAGAATTTATTATTTATAATTAACTTTCAAAATTTATATACAAAAAAGAAAGCATCGAGAAAATCAGTTTTGTAGCTACAAATAGATAGATCTGTTGTTGGAAAATACTTAACAATTTTCTAATATTTACTAAAAATAGAGAGAAGTGATTATGTACAAATGTGTAGTGGTATTAAGAATAAGACATATTTGACAAAGCCAAATATAACTAATGTGAATAGTAATGATGGTGATCGTTATGATTTTCGTGATGATCGTGATGGTCTTCATGATGTTCATAGGTAATCTTGGGAATTGGTACTTTTATTTTGGTTGGTTTACGTTCAACCGTAGCTTCAAATCCTGTCTTTTTGTCTGCTTTGTAATGCACAATACGATGATGTCCATCGGAGTCGATTAGTTCATAATAACCTTCGACTTTGTGATCCTTACGAGATTCCTTTTGACTTTTAATGTCCTTCGTTTTAGGATCTTTCACAGAATAATGAAATTCATAATGTGCAGGACCATGATCGTGTTCATCTTCGTGATGGTCATCATGTCCATGACCATGACTGTAGCTGTAGTGGTGCTGTGCACTCGCCACTACGACAATGCAGATCAGGAGCGCTAAAACCTAATATTGAAATAAGGATACATTGAGTTAAACGAAAAAATAATTTCATTTTAAACTCACCTTCCACGACATGATGTATTAAACTCCGTTTCTCCGTGTGAAGTGAATTCCTACTCTAACTTGAGTTCAATTTATATAAAAATTTGTTTAAGGTTTCCAGACAAGCCACCAGGTGCCCAAAATTTAAATTAATACTAACGCCTACAAACACAATTAATCCAGTTCAGTGTCTTTAGTATGGATCATACATGCACATACCTTCTCTAATTTACGTATAATAACTTTCAATACTTGTGATTTGAAACATTTGTGAGTTGCACAATGAAATGAAGGTGAAAATTAGATTTAGTGTACCATATGTCTATGTTTAGGTTTTGTCATTTCTGGAGTGCAATCGTATAAGTGCTTAGCATGGGTTACATGTAAGACATGAACTCAAGCTAACAGTGTTCTGCAGCGCTATTTACTTTAGTAACAATTTTTCGTGTTTAGCAACTATTTAATTTAAGAAATTTAATTTAAGAAAAATGTCTGTTACTTTGCTGTTTGTTGCTGAAAACTGACGGTTGGATCTTAGTGCATTTGTTGAAATTTGGTGGCTGTCTTTCTCATATAAATTGCTTATAGATACCGAAACAAAAAAAGGATATATTAAAAAGATTTCCTGTTGTTCTTAACTATTTTTTTACCAATTTTATACGACTACTATATAGAAACTTTAATACGAAATCAAATACAAGAAATGGAAATCCTAATCCCTTTTTTGCTAATCGATATGCTAAAACTGTGATGCTTGGTGTGATTCTTCCTATTTTTGCGGTAAATTTGCAAGGAAAATGCATCAAATAATTTTGCCGTCCAGTTATCCAATAAACGTTTCAACTTGATATAAAGTTAAAATTCACTTAGGATCAAGTTATACTTACATAGTTTAGTATAACATAGTCATAATTATAGTTTCTCAGCGTTAGGTTCGAAGTTGGGCTATATTTGGAAATAAAAATTTCTTGGCAAAATGATACATTTAACCCGAGTCAGAAACTATAGTAATTCTTAACTGGATTTTAAGTTTATGGAAGATTTGAGATCGTTCTTAAAATTACGTTTGAAATGAAATTTGAGATAACTCTTAGATTAAGCGTGAAACAGGCTAGAGTTCATTGCAAGTTAGCACTGGATTCTAAGCTTCTTTCAAAAGTAAATTGAAATTTCCTAGGGATTTTTTGCACACTATTTATTGACACTTATTTATTGCAATTATTTATTATTTTTCTGTTAAAAGTTCTCTCTTTATTTATTTTATAAAATTTGCACAATGGTAATACCTAATTTATTTCATTTTTACCTAATTTACCCTATTCGAAATTCTGGTAAATATCAACATTCGCTGCCATACTAATACAATTTACCATCAATTTACTCCTACTCACACACGGTATTTAATAGATGTAGAAAATATATGATGCTCTACAAATGTTCTAACTAGAGATCCATCATTTATGAATATGTTCAGATTACTTATGGAGAATTGCACGTCTATATTTTAATCAATAGGTATCACATCGTAGACACCGAGAGCTTTACTAACTTAGGAAGTATACTATCGGTAGATGGGGATGCTAAAAAGGACATCAATAGCCGCATTCAAAAAGCGCGAGTATCATTTGCTAGATTGCATAACATATGGCGGACGTACAATATACGTACCAATACCAAGGTAAAAATTTTAATTCATGTATCAAATCGGTATGCCTATATGGATCGGAAACCTGGCTTGCTAACTCCGAAATCGAAAGAACACTGCACATATGTCTGGAATCCTTCTTTTAGAAAAGAACTTTAATTTTTTAATACAAGTCCCTCAATATCTTGTTGTTTTTTCAAAGTAATTCGTTTTTAGTATCGGATCTTAACAATTTCAGTATACTATATTGTTTTATTGTCTTTGTTTAACAATAACTAACTCACAGATCATTTCGCACTGTGACTTATCGATCAAATATCTCGTTTTAAATATTGAAAAAATCTTGTTGCAAGTACTTTATCGAGAATAGAAATCATGAAAAACCTAGGTGCTATCTGTCTCAACAACATGAGTGTCTAAAGAGATATCTCCGGTACCATTGCAAAGACAACACAAATTGAAAACACTTTATTGAAGACTATTAACAGTGTAAGCGAAACCAATATTATTATATTTGATTTCAGCTCAAGCTATCTTTAATATTACCAAAATTCATTGGATATGTATATAAGCTAATGATAATTGATTGGTTTACGCGATGGTGCCAAAAAGATCAATTAAACGTCTTCTTGATCACTTAAAAAACTCGTTCGAACCATTCTATATGGCTTCTTACAAAGTACTAAATTGTACAAGCGATCACTGATTCAAGATAGATGTTAATGGTAAAAAGCAGAATATATCTATAGAGAAATTGAATCTGGAGTGTTCTTTGGAATTAAAATTAAATAAAGAATTAAAATTAAAACTGGGAACTCAATAAATCATATGTGGTGAAACTTAGATGAAGTGCGCCACAAATTACGTTAGGTTATGGTAACAACAAAGATACTTCGGCTTACGAAACGACAAATGCTGCTAGAAGTCGTGATTAATGTATATGAAA